AAATTGGTTTTTTTCCTTTTTTTTTTTTTTTTTTTTTCTTAATATAACAAAATTTGGACACTAGATTTGTTACAAACAATTATAATCATTTTTTTTTTCATTTCACTAGCATTTGAGTTTTTTCCCCTTTGTTTCATTATTTTTTAGTTTAAACAATTTTTTTCTTATATTATAAATGATTATATTCGATTTTTTTTATCATGATATTGATATAAACAACAAAATTCTCTTCATAATAATGTTTTATACTACTAATTATTATATTACTAGTTAAGTTGAAGTATTTAATGTATATGCTCATCAATTTCTCTCTCTCTTTTTCCTTATGCTATTGATTATTATATCTCTCACATTTTCTTTTTAATCTCTCATGTATCACTCACATTTTCTAACTTTTTTTTGTTCTTTCTAACATGGGTATTTATTATTACTCATTTGTTAGATATTGGTATTAAAATAATCGTTAACGAAACAAAATTATGAACTAAATGTGTAAAACATTTTTATATTATTATTTAATCACAATTATTACATATCATAAATTTATTCATTTTATAATAAATTCATTCTTAATACTCATGCTAATAATAATTTTTAATATAAACCTATTTAGTCAAATGAGTTTTTAATTTAAGATTTATTATAAATTATATTAGTGTAGTTAAACTTTGTATTTTTATATTTTATTTAATAAAAATATTAAAAATTATTATGATTTGTTAAATTAATTGATGATATACTTAATATTAATTTTTATTATTGAAAATTTTAAAAATAAAATCCTCTAAAAAAAATTATGTACACCAAATTATAAAAAAAAATAAAAAAAAAATTAGGCAACAGATTTCTTCCACTTATTTATAAATGTGGAATTTACAAGATTAGCCCGGAATATATGGAAAAGAAGGGTGTGAGGAAATAAGATGCGGCGACTCAGCTGTTGATGGGAAATGGTGTGTGTCATTCAAGGACACTCTACCTTGTCACATCCCACCAACAAACTTTTTTTTTTTTTTTCTTTTGCTTTCTTTTCAATTAAGCATTCATTTTAATACATTATATAAATTTACCCATCAAATAATCAATGCATCAAAATAGTCCTTGGTGACAAATTATCATGTTATTTTTTTAAAATTAAACATTTTATATATTATATTATGTAAATATTTTAAAAATTTATTTTTATAACATCTTTTTATATTATCAACTAATTAACTTTTTTTATGACTTTTAAAGTAATTATGTTATAATACTACATGATACTATGTGATAGAATTATAATGTAAAATATTTTACATTGTAATTATATTTTAATTAAATTAAAATTTTTAATTCTATTAAATTTAAAATATTTAAAATTATAAAAGATATATAATTAACTTAAAGTTAATATCAACACAGAAACGAGAAGAAGACCCTGACAAATGTCTACGTCTTTACTTGCCTTTGGAAAAGCAACACAGCTATTCCAAAGGAAAAGTAAAGAGGGGTAGCTGTAGACACCCAATTTCGTCCGGGGGCATACAAACAGCAAGATAGGACATCAGAGGGTCCAAAAGCCCAAATCAACTTTTTTTAGTGGCCCGGAATGGGCTGTTCCAAAATTGGAACGGGCCGTTCCCAAGTCCAGAACAGACCGTTCTTCAATTAGAACGGGCCGTTCTGAGGCTCCTAAAAGGCCTTAAAATTGTAGGTTGGAACGGGCCATTCCAGACTAGAATGACCGTTCCAAACCAATCAAAGGGCCTAAAAACTTGGTCTGGAACAGGCCGTTCCTAAACCAGAACAGGCCGTTCCAAGAGGTTAAAAAGGCCTAACAAACCTAGTTTGGAACGGGCCATTCTGGGAAGGAATTTTAGTGTTAATTTGTACCCCAGAACCGACCATTCTCATCTCAGAACGGGCTGTTCTGGTTTCCTGAACGGCCTGTTCTGATTTTAGAACGGGTAGTTCTAGGGTGCCAAATTAACACATAACGTTCGGATCCGGAACGGGCCGTTCCGAATCCAGAACGGGTCTTTCCGGCCCACATCTGATGCCTATAAATAGAAGTCTCAGACACAGTTCTCAAGAGCCCCAAAAGTTTCGTCTAGGACTCCTTAGAGCTCGAAATTTCTCTCTCTCTCTCCTATTGTATTTCTTGAGTATTGTGAGGCAATTGTAGTGCGAAAGGTTGCCACAAAGAACCTAAAATTTCCCTATTTTGAAGATCCAATAGAGCTCATTCAAGAGGTATTTCAGTTAATTTCTTTATCTCTTTTTTATTTCTTATCTATAATAATTATTATTATAATAAAAACAATCATGTAGACATTTTAGGGTTAATTGTATAATTTAAGTTCCAAGCATGTAAATAGTTATTAATAAAGGGGATCTAATATTTAATTTATTAATTCTTATCACGTTAACTTCATCATAGGGTACCGATTGAGAGCGCTGTAGGGGTGCTTAATACCTTCCCTACATGTAACCGACCCC